CACGTGCGACATACGTTTCATATATCGGAGTCAAGTCTGGATATGTAAGAATTTAGGCGACTACAATTTCCAGATCTTAATTGTGTTAGTATTGCGTGAGACTTTCGACGCAACTCGAGCTCTTCGTCTACAAAGGATGACGGTTTGACTCGGAGAACTCCATTTACTATAAGGAAGTCAATCGCTTGCATCGATAAGCGTCTTTTGTAAATGCCAACAAACACAGTCCAGCGGTGTTAAGTCGCATGTTCTTGTTGGGCACGCCACTGGCTCACGATATGTGTTAATATGCACAACACAAGTTCCCTTCCCTTGGAACCTAAGGGTTACCCACTTCAACATCCTTTAAATTCAGGTACGAAAATGTCATTAATCATGACTCTACAGCTTTCCCCATCGACTGTAACATTATGACTGGCTCCACGTTTGCAGAAATCTGTACGAATGATGCTCTCTGCTCATAGAGTACAGCAAACAGTGATTGGTTTGAGAATGTAAAAGCGTCTCAACAATTGCTTGTTGTGTGACCAAATACTGCATGCATACATACACCAAAAATACCGAGCCCAAAAACACAGTTCTAAGAAAACACTCTGCGCTTGCTCAGAGAGGGAGGTTTAAGATCTGACCGCAAGCAGCCACACCTAAGCCATAGAGCCGGCTCATTGTGCTCCTCCATGTATTCCAACTAAATTTTTGCTCGGGTTTACAAATTTTGTATGTTTCTTCATATCAAGTGTGGCCATCTCCGTGGGATTGAAGCTGGGAACATCATTCACGATTCTGGCATCTGAATCGGCTAAAGGCTGGTCACTAGCAAAGGTAGTACTCCAGCGTCTCGCCATCCTGTGTGCATGATTAATAGCTCAGATGTGGCTGCCACGTTGATATACCCATAAGAATTCGACGCTCCCTTTTGCCTAATGGAAGTATCAGTTTGGTATGTCTTCTATCCTACAATAATTTAGTGGTACATCCCAGGACCCTAAGTATTGCTCTAAAGTCCACTTTTTTATACACTACTGGACGAGATTGAAGAATCTAAGCCAGTCGTTGGTGACAGCCTCGTCAATGGCGCCAGCTCGTGCTAGCTTGTGTGCCTTCTTATTGCCTTCTACATGCGTGTGACCGGAGACTGATGTGATGTTTACGGTGTGAGCTGACTCTTTTTTTTGTTCTTACCCAACTGGGCTTAGTGTTGGCGAACTTAATTGCCTAATACAATGCATACAATGCCTGCATGGAGTATGGACTTGTAGTCATTCAGGTGGAAGCTACCTTGGTTGTTGCCTTGGTCACAGAAGAACCCAGCTTCGCTGCCTAACATTTAAAACAATCAGATTAGATATGGATATCTCCACTGTTACCGTTGGGTACGCATACCTTCCACTCTTCCTTGCTAGAGAAAGAGTAGATGGCTTTTACTCGGCATAAAGAAAATATTTTAGTCACCGGAATAATGGCAGAATCCAACATGTTGTCGGGTATAGTCTCGATTAAGTTGATCGCGAAGTCTCCAATGAACAAAAAAAAGAACAAAAAGATAGTAGAAATCTTCTTGTACTATTTCCAACTAACTCCATGCTACTGAAAACCAGATAAAACTAACCTGTCGCTGATTTAGTGGGAGTCTTTACTTGAGGCTTGAAACTTTAATTTTGGCTTTGGCTTTTACACAGCATACGGCTACCGTTTCTCGGGCGCATTTTACATTTAGCCCGAGCTCCGATATAATTTTTGGAATGTCACCATGTCCTTCACAACTTGTGAACTGAACCCAGCTATGTAGAACATTCAGATCTCTCGTCAAGGTAGAAAGGCTTTTTTGTCTTTTTTCATTATCTCTCTCTTTAAACTTCTTAAAATTGTACGACTCAGCGAATACCCACCGGTGTTTTAATTAAAATTTTGCTTTCACTTATTCGCCAAAAACTTAGCCTCTTCCTACTGTGGCACACATTTGTTGCTTAGTTCCATGCATTTTCCATTTGGATCTTCGTTTTCTTTTTACCCCGGATTCACCATCAAGCAATTAGACTGCAGACAACTGTTCAACGCCTGAAAATATGCATGCATATGCGCAAAATGAGGTTGCGTGTTGAAGTCTAAATGCTCGGATTTACACGCGTTGACAGCTCGCACACCGTCCGTGCCATAAGTTTTATAGTTTATGGGATTATGAGTGGAACGTAAGGATATGCATTAGCAGCTGAGCGTGTGTGTGTCTGTGTACATGTGTGTGCTTGTTTGCCCTTGGGGAGGTGATAAAATGCAAATGCTGTTAAGGTAGCAAAGTGCATTAGGGGAAAATGTGCTGATACTGAGTATATGTGTATGTATACGCATGCAGATGTAAGACTTGCTGCCGGTGTGAAAATTCACTTTAATTTTGCATTTTGTTCGAAACATTTGGTAAGGTTTTAGATTTATGATGTTCCAGGAAATCGTGATAGAAGCTAATTTCCTCGCAATTCTGCGCTGGAACTCAAGCCGATGGGGTACAGTAGTGGACATGATAAAGGGTTACTGGGAAATAAAAAGGTAGCAGCCTGTTGAATGGCAGTGAAAATGGAACAGCAGTAGATGGCGAACCCGATTCGATTCGAGAGATTAAAGACGATGGAACAGATGTTGCAATGTTTGACTATCAAAAATTTGCATACCAATCACCAGCTTGACAAGGCGCATGCAGCAGTTTCTTTGCAACATAACGTCAAACGAAAGCTGTGCGCTGCCCAAACCACAATACGGAGTACCACAGAGTCTGGACCAATTACCATGAGAAACTCCTCAATATCGCATATAATATTCTAGCGAGCATTGTGTATTAAAAACTAAAGCCAACCGTCAAAAGTGTGGCTTTAGACTTGGTAAACCCACCATTTTTAGCTGAGACTCGCTCACCGTATACCGGGTTTCTTAATAAAAATCTATAAATTAAGCTTTCGTTCGTAATTTAAATGCAGATAATTTTCTTTTTATGAGTCCTTAAACTAGAGGAGTAGACTCTCGCTACTAGTTTTTGAGAGCTACTTCTTTTTCAGAGCTACTCCTTTTTAAGAAGTAGAACTTCGTTGGCAAAGGAGGGAAGTATTACCTCTGTTTGATCTTTCCAGAGGTAAACAAGTATTCCATCGCCTCTGAATTCCTCTGAATCGCCTTTGAATTCCTCTGCATCGCTTCTGAATTCCTGAAGTTTTCGTAAAGACGGAGAATAGCACTTCGCTCTGACTTTTCCCAAAGGGGTAGTAGTACTTCAGCGCCTCTAATTGCCTGATCTGATCTTAAAACTGGAGAAGAAGCAGAATCTCACCTACTCGTGATACTTAAAATAGGGAGTTGAGCCTTACCTATCTGGGTCCGCTCATGACTTGTCTTTCAGCGGTCTTGTTCTGTTTCATACAAGTGTCATAGTCGCGGACAGTTACTTTGATCCATAGTAACTTGCCCTTCGCTTTCTTTTGCACGTATTTTCTTTTCATACTTCACATAATAACATATACATACAAATAGTATCTTATGTTGTTTGATGGTCTGTTGATGTGCTGTGATATATTTATGTGATACGATAAGTTCTTAATATTATCATGCTAGCTCAAAACCGCTGATTTTGGGTTCGTCACAAGTACGTTGACTTTCTTGAGAGAGCGAGAGAGAGAGAGAGAGAGCGAAGTTTGGCAGAGCCTTGATGATCAGTTCTTGAAACTTCATTAAGTCCTCTGAGCAGTGAAGCTGCTAGATATATAAACCCTGACCTAGAAAGGGCTGGATATGCCTTTAAACTTAGAAATTCTGTAAAGATTCTTTAGTGAATTTCCCATTTCATCTATTTGTTCGGTCGTCGGTCGGACGGTACTTTTGATAATCTCATGAACTTCTTTATTATTCACATAGCCAGTTTGACCTCATAATGTTGATGTTCTCTTTGTGGTTTCATATAGTGTTAAATAGTTCCTTAACATGATCAGACCTCTTTCTGGGAAATACAGGAAGTGTTGGTTGATATCGAACTCAGCGTAAGAGTTTTCATACCCAATCCATCAGCGATTTCTGATTCGCTTTTATTGCGCATTACAGCATTCCAGGATCCATTAATGGCTTCTGTATGACCGACTGTGGATAGGTGCTTAACTTTCTCTTTTAATGAACCAATTAATTGCTTTGTAACATCAGAAGAATCTGAAATCTGCTATCTTTTCTGCAGACTGTCAAAATTGTAAGAGCACGGGGAACACTAGCACGAATCACAAGTACTAACAGATGGGCAGTTAAGAGTGATAGCATCTTCTCTGGGAAATTTATACAGATCGAGTTTAATTAAAAAATATTAAGAGATTTTTATAATTTCTCTTTTAATTTTCACTGATTTTCACATGGATTTTTCATTGATTTTTGAACGTTCAATATTAATGGCTTCAAATTTGTCTGTGTGTCTGTAGAGATATTTTTTGGCGAACATTCAAAAGCAAAAAAAAAAAAACAACTGTTACAAATGACAATTTTTCCTCTCTCTCTATTTCACTCCATCCATCTCGCGCTCTCTCTCCCACTCTCTGCATTACACTACAATTACAACACGAAAAAATTGCATTCCCAACTTTACAATCAAATTGATTTCAAATTTGGTTGCGCTTGACTAGAATTTATTGGATTTTTCTGCAAAATTACACTTTCATTACGCTAAAAGTTAAGCCAAGCATAGATGTTGAGAAATCAATGAAGAGAAGATAGAGAAAATTAAAAAAGAGAAAGAAAAAGAGAAGGAAAAGTAAAAATTAATCAAAAGAATTCAAAATAAAGCGAATTCAAAGAGTAAGCGAAAATAAACGAATTTTCTTGAACTCTTACTATTTTCTACGAAATTCAAAGTAATAAGTTTAAAGCTTTTCTCAATGTACTTACATACATATATGTATGTATGTTTGTAGATACCTGTATAAAGTTGTTTTGTTTTTTTTTTTTATGAATTTTTATATATTTCTCAACTTTTTCCTTTACAGCTCGCACAACTTTTGCCAATGGAGGAGAATTTCCTTTTGCTCTTCCGTTTCGATAATCCACTGGAATCGAGTGTTGAATTCATGAAGGTGAGTATTGCTCGGAAAAAAGATATTAGCAGGAGCAAGAGTGCGATGAAGCGATTTAAATAATTTTAAGCGTTAAAAAAAGAGAAAAAATATTAAATTTTCATACATAAGGAAATTTAAAATTTTCAAGAACCAAAAAAAAATTAACAAAAGTATGAAAAGTAAAAATATAACGAAAAAATTGGAAAAAAAATTAATATTTGAAGTATAATATTTAATTAAAAATTAAATTATTATTATTTTAAAATTTTTAAATCAATGGTAAAATTCTCTGCTTTGTTTCACCCTCATTAGCTTCAAGGGGTAACTTTCATACCATAGAATTTTCTTTTACCTTTCATTAAATATACATATTTCCTTTTCCCAATGCACCAAAGACTTTTTTGTTCCACATACGCCCCGTTGTACCTTCTGTAAACAATTTAGCGCAAAGAGTTGTTAACAAAACTCACATAGAAATTGGTTTGCTTTACTCATTAACCACTAATAGATTCATTTGAGTGAAAACGAGTTTTTCAATTATATGCACATACAAATATATATAGATATGTGTATATACCTATTTATGTTTGTGTACGCGTGTAGCTTAGAACAGGACTTAATTTTCAAAAATTGCAATTGAATATGTTTTTGAATATTTGCTTTAATAACGGTGAGTCGTCTTTGGCTAAAAGTATATTATATTTTACAAAAATTACTGCCTATTATTTTTTTCCTTTAACATCCATTTTGCTTTGTGCAGAGAAAAGCTCAGTACTATCTTTTTGAATGGAGTTTCCAAACTACATAACAAAAAATATATATATATATATACTTATCTATATATACATACGTGCATATAAATAACTTCTAAATAAAATTACGTTAAAAACTATTAAATATCAAGCAAACGGTATATGCAGCTCTATTAACCACATAGTGGCTCTCAAACTTTAAAGGCTTTTATTACAGCATCAGAAGTATTTTTTAATAGTTTAAATCGAAGAGAACAATAAAAAATTATCAGAAGCTTTTTTTCTTCGTGCATATGTATGTTATAGACTAAAATATACCTTCAATTATAAATGTATGTACATATATTATATAAAGAAGACTTTTTCCTGAATAACTGATAATCGTGCAGACCCGCAACTTGAAACGTGTGTTCTAAGTAGGAAGTCGATTAGAAAAAAAATTTCTATAAGTTTTGCTTAAACCGATTTTTTAAAAAAATCGAATTTACTTCGAAATTATATAATTTAGTCGAAATTTGGTCTAAAATATGTATTATATATCGTCGGAATCGGATTATTATTTCTTGTAGTCTCCATACAACCGATTTGTTAAAAAATGAAGTTTTTGGTAAAAAACCCGTCTAAAAAGCATCAACAAGTTTCAGATTAAGTATTCTATATACATATCTATAAATGAATATTTCCACCAAAAATCACTGAAATCGGATTATTATTTCATCTAGCCTTCATACAACCGATTTGTTCAAAAATGAAGTTTTTGGTTAAAAATCCGTCAACAAAGCATCTGCAAGCTTCGGATTAAATATTCTACACACCCATATTACCATTTTGTTTTTATACATATGAGAAATAATTTAAAATTTTATTTTAAAATGAGAAGTCGTCAAAGGTATAAAGACTTAGGCTCCTTTTTTAATACTAATTTCTTTAAAAAAATTTCACGTATTTTTTTGTCTTAATGTGATTTTTCTTATAATTCAATATCATTTAGCCAAATATATGTCCAATTACATTTGCCTCAAAATTTCCTCAAAATGTTTTGCTACTCAAAATTCTGTATTTTTTCTAATAACAAATTCACAATTTTTGAATTATTTATAAATCACCATTAAATTGTAACCACTAATCAACGCAAATATTTGACATAAATTTAGCTGACACATAATAAATTACAAAAACATTGCATAAATATTTCACAATAAAGAAAGAAGAACAACAAAAGCAACGACAAATTACATGGCAAGCTAAACGAGGCATTGGACAGCCAAAAAAATGTATATCTCGACATGACATTGATACAAACAAATGAATTTAATTAGTGAATGCGATAGCGAAATTTAGCGTATAAATTGACTTACAAAATAAACAGGGTGAACGGGTGGGCAGGGGAAGGTTAAAGAGGCTGAAAGAATAGGCTGCTGCTAAGAGGCTAAGCAGAAAATATTTCATGCAACGTTTGCGTTATTAATGCATAACAAATTGTGTGGAAAGAAATAGACAAAATTTATTTGACCGGGTTAACCAGATTGCGGTAAATTAAATTGATTTAAAATATCTGTTTCATGAAATTTCTTTAACTCATTATATAGGGTTTGCCTTAAAGCTTAGAAAGTTTAGTTAGCACAAGAACTGAAACCAGTTGATCATTACAAAATCGTGTCTTTGCTGATTGGATCCTAGAAATGTATAAAAATCATCTTCACCTCAATAGCTACGTAATTAAACATACTAACTGTCCAATGTCTAAGTTATATTTTGGAATAACCTCTCCATACTCAACATGTAACTGGGCCGTTCGGGTCATTAAACCATTCTTTTTCAAAAATGAGCAACAAAACCATCGATCCACCGTGTTATCGCATTGTGAATGGCCAGTTGGCTTCAGTTGTTATGGTAGAGATCTTTATATGGATGTTGGTATGATTTCATGTGTAACACCCGTCATAATATGACATAAGAAAGTCCCAGCTTTTGAGAACGTCTAGAAATAGACACATTCGTGTCTTCGGCTACATCTTCAGGTACATTATCGATAGTGGGATGAGCAAAATGATGATGGACAGGCAAGTCGATGCAGTCACTTGAAATTTTATTTAAACTTCCACCAGTTGCTTAAACAGTAGTTGGACGATTATGTTCGCTTAAAGCACAAAATATGACCACATTTGAATCACCATTTTTTTAGTAGGTTTTAATAATTTTAACGCATTCTGCGTTTGTTAAACGAACCTTTTTCATAAACGTCTGACTTTTTACAAAAACAAAACATGTTTGGCTTGTCACATAAATGACAAAATATAGCCCTATAACTTTGATATCATGACATGGATAAACCTAGAATTTTCTCATTAAGCATATTTCCTTTTCCCAAAGCACCAAAGGCCTTTTTTGTTCCACATACGCCCCGTTGTACCTTCTGTAAACAATTTAGCGCAAAGAGTTGTTAACAAAACTCACATAGAAATTGGTTTGCTTTACTCATTAACCACTAATAGATTCATTTGAGTGAAAACGAGTTTTTCAATTATATGCACATGCAAATATATATGGTAGATATGTGTATATACCTATGTATGTATATGTACGTTTGGTGCTTAGCACAAAATTTAATTTTCAAAAACTGCAATTAAACATATTTTTTGAATATTTGCTTAAAGAATGGTGGAAAATCTTTGTCTAAAAGTTTATTAAATGCCTGCCTATTCATTTTCACTAAATGGTTAACCCTAATATAGAATGAGAAAAGTAGTGTTGAAAAGAGGATTGTTGGGAGGTTGGCAATTTTTTTATTTTTTATATTTATTTTTTTTACTTTTTTTTACGCTTCTTTTTGTTTTTTATTGATGAGGGTTAAGGAAATTAATATCATTTGTAAAATTTTAAATTTAAGAAATTTTTAAACTACAAAAAACTTCACTCTGCATGCGCCTTCCAACTGCTGACCTGACAAAATTTTTCTCATTCAAAACTTTCTTGCCCAATCATACTAAGAGATGTCATCTCTGCCTATCAAAGCCACACCTTTTCTACTACGCTGTGCACCTTTTTTTATCTTTTAGCGCCCATTTATTTGCGATGATATTTTTCTTCTTCGCTTACGAAAAGCTGTTTATCACTGCTGCCTCTAAGCTTCTATGCTTTACTACTAATTTTTGTTTGTTTTATCTTGTTCATTTTTTTTTTTGCTGAATTTGTTGGTTTTTTGTTTTTTTTTCTTTGCGCTGCAATTTGTTATTGTGCTTATCATACACATATTTATTACGCTCCTCGCTTATACATATACGAGTATGTGTATGTATGCATGTAGAAACATTTGTCTTATGGTTTTTGTGTGCTTTTGCAGATTTGGCGTGAATACGACACTGATAATTCCGGTTATATTGAAGCTGATGAGCTGAAAAACTTTTTACGCGATTTACTTAAGGAGGCTAAGAAAATTAATGATGTTTCGGAGGATAAATTAATTGAATATACCGATACAATGGTGAGTTTTGAAAGCTTTTATTATAAATTTTATATTGATAAATAATGATAATGAGTGGGAGTGAAGATTAAAAGCATATTTCGGGGATTAAATGTGAATTGTATGAAGCGATGATGGATAGAAAACTTTGAAAAAGAAATAGATAGTGAAAAATTAAAAGAAATTTTAAAAAAGTTTTATTTTTCTATTTAAATAATACAATGAAAGATGAGAGTGTATAACTTGTGATTACAAGACTTTTCGCTTGGCAAAAAGTTAACTGCAACTCCCAGCGGCTATAGAATGTTGCTTTAGATTGTTCAGCTTAGGTTATGTTGAATTAAGTTAACTGCGTTTGGGCTTGGTTTGGTGGTAAGTCCTGGTATCGGACCAGCATACTCCAATTTATAATGCGGTGCGCCTTTTCTGGAGGATACCACTATTGACTTTAGACATTCCTATTTGTCTCTTGCCCTGTGATAAGGATTCGGGAGTGTTAATTTTCTGATACTCCGCAGCTTTGGTGTAACCAGTCGATTTGCTATCGGCATCAAAATTGGCTTAGCGAGCACAGCATTTTACGTCCATTCTAAATTGGATAGATGCCAGGCTGGTAGAGTAAACTAAATTGATGCTCGGATTGATGCTATTTATGCTTGAAGAAGCCGAAAATCGCTTCAGCGGTTACAAAGCGCCAATAATTTATATATATATGCTTAAAGAATGCTGCGTTGTAAGGTAAATCTGAATCTGGAGCAGAATAAGAGTTTTCGATTACTCTTCCATCTCTGTGATCTGTGAAGAAGTTGTCCATTTTCATGAGCTTAATCATCTCAAAGCGAGTGGAAATGGCTGAGTGCTTGTTGGGAAGCAAATCTACAATGCCGCGGCCTGTTTACTATGGAATAAGGTCAAGGCATTGTAGAGTCTTCGCATGTAAACCTAGAACACAACGAAACACATGGTGGCAATCTAGAGTACCAGGGCTAACTTTCACCGGCGGTGCAAAGCAGGGTCTACAAGAAGGTTTTGAAAAGGTTTCAATTCATCATTTCTCCAGACAACTAATAAGAACGAGACCAGATACATCTTTCAACCTTGCTCCATGTATTCTAAACGGAGCGCACAGTAATAACCCACGTCGGATGACTCTCACCACTTTGAGATCACATGAAGTTCTATCCGGCCAGTCAACGTAGTATTAATAATATATATAATGAGGGTAAGAGAGAAAAAAAGAGTGGGACTGAAAGAGAGAGGGAGAGAGAGATGGAAAGAGAGAAAAAGAGAGTGGGACTGAAAGAGAGAGGGAGAGAGAGAGAGGGAAAGAGAGAGGGAAAGAGAGAGGGAAAGAGACAGGGAAAGAGAGAGGAAAAGAGAGAGAAAAAAAGAGAGGGTAAGAGAGAGTGAAAGAGAGAGGGAAAGAGAGAGGGAAAGAGATAGGGAAAGAGAAAACGGTAGAAGAAGATTGAAAGAGAGATTGAAAGAGAGAGTGAAAGAAAGAGTGAAAGAGAGACGAAAATATAAAGGGAAAGAGAGTGGGGGAAGATTGACGTTTTTCCATTATTACAAACTGTTCTTCAGGTATACATGATAACAAATACAACAATTATTACCGCTTTATAAATGCTTATTTAGAAAAAGCTTTTATGAGTGAAGAAGCTGAAGCCAGAAAGCCGTGTGCTCGATTTCTCCTCAGATATTATGATGTCCAAGATGCAATTGGTTCTGATAAACTAGGCATTAAAATACTGATAAAATTCTGCACCTGATGGAGTACTTTCGACTCTCAGAAGATAGCGGTGACCTTATGTATCACTCATATGATAATTTCGAATCATTTAAAAATTTTGTGGCTGCACAGAGAAGCTTGTAGTTTGAGTGCCACTTGCATTAATGTAACAAAAATCGAAATTTCATCAGTGAAACACTTCTGAAACACAACAAAATCGAATTATACCTGAAACGTTTCAAGTCATCCATTGAAAAATGGGTTAAATTCAAGATTATAAAACGATAACAAATTACTGTCAAAGGCATATCTCGCCAGAATTGACGGTAAACAAGGTGACGGTTGAGTATTTGATGCATCAAATGGACACTGTTCATTAAGAGTCCATTAATTAGTCTACAACCAGTTCTTACTAGCCAAAGCATTCGCATTAGACAGGAACAGATAATAACGCTTGGTTCGAGTTCCGTACTATAAGGTGTATGCATGAAAACCTCTCAATAAAGCTTTCGAATCTTCTGTCGAGTCACTATCGGTGTGTGCGATCTGCCGTTGTCCGGATGAAACACAACTCTCCTCCCGTAAGCCAACGCTGTACGCTTCTAGCTGATTGCTGCCTTTAGACGGTCCAATTGGTGTCAGTACAGGTAAGCGTTAGCTGAGCACGGCCATAGGGAAGCACCTCATAGACCGTTTTCGTTTGACGTTGTTCTAGGTGAAATATTTTTCACCAACTTCAGAAAATAGTCCGTTATGTCACGATTCAGCAGCGGTTCGTAGATGATGAAATTCGATTCATTTGCTTTTTCCTCATTAACTCATTTGGCAGCAGAGCAGAACGAGTTTCTTTGTGTATCCAGCGTTTTTTAAATGGTTCGAAGAATTTTAGAATTTGATGTGCTGATGTTGAGTTAAGGAATCAACACTTCTCCCATTATCTTTTTTAGTACAAATGTACAATGGTGTACAACTTTGCCTCCGCCGTTTTTTTTTTTCAAAATTAAAAGCTTTATTTCGAAAAAGTGTTTATCGATATATTATTCAAAGTATTGTCCTTCACTAGCGACAACTTTCTCCCATCTTTCCGGCAATTTTCGGATTCTGGCTCGAAAAAACGAGTCCTCTTTTGACGCTATTCATGAAGCAATTCATTTTTCCAATTCTTCGAAGGATTGAAAATGTTGATCTGCCAGGTCGTGTGCCATCTGGGAAATACGGCGGGTGGGGCAAGATTTCCCATTTCAGCGTTTCCAGCTACTTTTTGACCACTTTTGCGACGTGAGGCCGAGCATTGCCGTGTTGGAGGATGACTTTGTCATCCCGCTCTTTATATTGTGGCCGCTTTTCTTTTAGCGCGCGACTAAGGCGCATCAATTGCGTTCGGTAGCGATCTCCTGTGATAGTTTCACCCGGTTTTAAGAGCTCGTAGTAAATCACACCGAGCTGATCCCACCAAATACAAATCATAACCTTGGCGCCGTGAATATTCGTTGAAGCCTCTCTCGACACGTTCTTTCACTCAGAGCAGCGTCACCGTAAGTTTCTGAAAGCATTCGATGCGCCTCAGCTGCATTTTTTTTCGAAAAAGTTTTCGAAAAGTGAAAAGTAAAACTTTTCGCAAATGGAGAGAATAAGGCACATAAAGGGACATTTTCGAGCGTGAATAATACGAAAACAAGAACAACTGTCACTGAAACGGTGATGACAATTCGTTAGGCACTGTCCACACTAACTTTAAAGGCATTATCATCTATGTATTTCAACCAGCCACAGTCGGTACAGCCACCTATCGGAAAACGGCGGAAGCAAAGTTGTACACCTGATATTAGCTCAGTCATCTACCATAATCCAATCGCGCTTATAGAACACGAGAAAATAAACTCGATTTTTTTTTCTAATAGAACGGTCCCGGGGGCCCATTTAACGTAAATTCTATCTCTTCTTCTTTCAGGTTTCTATGTTTAATTTATGAGTTTATGAGTTGATCCTTTTACCATTCAGGACAACAGCTTTTATTTATATAGAAATAATTTTGGGTTCATTTATTTATGGCAAGCCTTAAGATAAAATAAAATTGATTTTAGAAAATAAATGCATAGAGTTGCTAACCCAACACCGTTGAAGACATATAACTTCATTTTAGAGGTGCTAATTCTGCTCTTTCCCTCTTACTCTCTCTCTCTATCACAAAATTTGTGTGAGCACATTAAAAACTGCCGCTACTTTAATAACACACTCACACAATCCGCCAAATTAATGAGGAAATATGATAAAATCAAATTTAATCCCCATAACCCCGCAATAATCGCTACTCTTTTAGGGTAAATGAAAATTAAAACTCTCTCTTTAATTTGTAAAAATAAATACGTTTAATCACTCTTTACGCCATTTGACTTTAAAAGCCCTTAATCCTTAAATACCTCTTTAAATGTTAATCGCAACATTACTTCTACATGCATTCAGCATGATTTTCTTTAATTTCCATTTATTATTCTCCACACACCGAGGCCTGCATTGTGTGGCTTTAAATTGTGGAGTTTTGGTATAAAGAGAGAAAAAATTTAATAAAATACATTAAAATGAACTTTTAATTAAATTGTGTGGTACTGTAGGGCGCACACATACATGCTCGTATATACAACTTTATCTCTCTGTATACTCGTATACTATGTATGTATGTGCTTTCTGAAATTTATGCGACTGCTGTTGAACGTGCCAAAGCCACAATCGATGGCTGCCGTTTTTGGCATGCCAATTGAATTATTTCACAGAGCAACTCGATAACCACAGATAAAAGAAATAAATAAATATCATAAATTATATTAATGATTAAATGAACTTTCTGCAAATACATGACCCACAGTCAAAAACTTAATCATTCCATTCTGCATGAGAAATGCATGGAATGCGTCTGATAGAGAGCTTTTGTATTATATTGCTGGCAGGTGCTATCGATCATAAAATCATGCTGTCGCCCAGCACTTATGATATTGCACTAGACTTGTAGAAGGTTGGGCCCGGCAAACGCAGGTTGCTTGCATCCAGCTGTGATCTTCGCTCTCAAACAATTCTTTCAAGTCACCCGCTTAGTGTTGGATTGAATTTATCTGCTGGATTGCGTGGCAATAGATGTAATCACCTCTGCAGAGTTCTCGATATTGTGGTTGTTCGCTGACCAGAAACGATTAGAGTACTTACAGGGCGATTACGGGCTTTTTTCACCACTCTGCCCATCACCGTCGGCGTGCGGATCACCAATTGGCTCCTTTGATTCGCCCTCGGAGGTCTG